ATATATATATATATATATATATATATATATATAAAATGAAACAACAAATTAAAAGAATTGTAAAGAATTTAATAACAAGAGAAAAGCATTTAAAAAACATAATTTTTATACCAATTTTTAACTGGAAATCATATAAAGACACTTTTATCACTTTAATAAAGCATTAAAAAGGATTATAAGTGCCATCCTCGGCTCCCCTTTTTCCATTTGTGTCACTAGGAGATCTGTGAAAGAAGACTGACTTCGGCCAACCTAATCTGCGTCAGACTGGTTATGTTGGAGGTCCAGTCTTTGATTAAGAAGTTTCAGTGCTGGACTGACTTAACTTCAGATTGCTGCTAATGGTCAGGTTAAACACCCCAGGTTTAAACTAGGGGTTATATCAGATTTCAACTAGCAGGTTCACCGCCTGTTCCCGTGCCAACATGACTGCTCCCACAGATCCACTCAACCAGCTTCTGTGCAAGAACTAAAGGTTGGGGGTCAGCACAGTACGTGTGAACTGGGATCTAGACCTCATGTCAAAAGCTTTAACCCCATGTATCATGCATACGTGCTTTGCACAATCTGTGACTATGCAGGGGACTAGTGGGCCAGGGCTGTAGGAGCGAGAGTCAAGTTACAATGAGAGAGGGTTTGTTGGGAGTGTGGCTACGTTGGGCACCTGTTCAAAATGTGCTCCCCCGTGTAACTAAATCGGATGCTGAGATGCAGAGAGGCAAAAGGGAGATGTGTGGGACAAGTTTTATCAAGAGCTGAATGCTTCTGTAGCTATTAAGATCACACTATGTCACAGCAGCCATAAGAAGTATTAAAGAATTAAATATTTGTGAAAATCCACACATTACTGTTCGCAAGGAGAAGCAACACATATCTAACTATTATTAGGTCATGCACATATGTACAGTTATGCTCAATGTTATTCATAGCCCTTCAAATTTAGGCTTAAAGTAATCTTTTTATTTCAAAAGCATGCTTCTTCTTACTAGCAGCAAGATTTACTACTTGCAGCAGCCCTACAAAGAGTCATGATTTGAATCTCGTCCCCAAACTGGTTAAGGTGGTGATGAGGAGGCCGTCCATTCTGGAACAGCTGGAGCTCATCTGCAAAGATTAATCATGAAAACAATTAATGGAGACTTATCAATTATGATCCCAAATAAGGCTCCTCCACCTTTTATTGTAAAGTATGTATATATATAATTGTAAGAATGCGAATATAGTTCTAATATTTTTAAATAAAAGTGTCAATATAAAGATATACAATGTTTTCTTGAAACTTGACACACATTTCAAATGCATTTTCTTTATTGTTTTTTGAGAAATTCATCTCTATTATTTGCTTTATATATATATATATATATATATATGTATATATATATATATATATATATATATATATATATATATATATATATATATATAAATCAGAATAAATACGATATATTTTTTAGGACAGAAATGTGAGAATCAAAAGGATTTCTAATACCTGCCTATATGGTGCTATTTTCGAAACGTACTGACAAACAAGCATGATCTAAATGCATATTCTGATATCTTAAATGACTTAGTACTTACAAAAGGAAAACAGTAAAAGTTGGTAAAGTAATTTTTGCACAGCATTATCACTAGCAGAAGAGTAAGATCAAAACGTCATAGTATTTTCAACAGGTCTCTTTTTATATTCCAATTAAAAATAGCATTTTGGATATGATGCATAAATTGGCATAAATGAGGAGTTTTGTTATAAAAGTGCTTGTACACAGTATGAGTTTTGGATTGGGGATGAGTATTTGTTGATTATCTGTTCGGTAAATTGTGCTGTTTTTTTCTTGAGGGGAAAAGGACCCACAGCATTACTTATATTTATACCACCCCCTTTAATCCTTGCTAAAGTCCTAGTATCAGTTGGTGAACACCCCAAATTAGTTTTTGGATTGGTTGGACAGACAAGGCCTGTTCATTTGTAAAGAACAAAATAAGCCTTTATGCCAAATCATTCTACTTTACCCTGGGAAATTTCATTTTTTTAGATTTATTTGCAGAAACTGTTAGTGGTGACAATAAATGGCTCACATGTGATAGTGGTTATAAAAAGGCAACAAAGCAGTTATTTCTTATCATGGAAGTTTTTCCCCTTTAAAGGTTATATTTCCCTATTTATGTTGCCGTGAGTCTATGCTTCTGCAAAAAAAGCCAAGTTTCTCCAAGGATTGTTGTTCAATCTTGATGCTGTTGAACACAAAATTGTATTATTTAGAATAATCTAACTCAGACCATCAGTTGCCATTACTTTCACTGCATTAGAAAAATAAAGGCATGTTAGTTGCTTTTGTCGGTTTGCGATTGTTAAAAGCGTGGGAAGAGGGTGGAGGTGGTGGTGGTGTAAAAGGTTGGTGGGAGAGTAGACAGGGTGTCCGGCACCGAACCACCTCCCAAAATAAACTCCGTCCCTGCGTCTCTGTGTCTGTCCAGCGGCAGACCTTTGGGCTCCCACAACACCAGCACCAGTGGCGGCAGCAGCAGAAGCACAGAGGAGTCTGGGGCCATGGCGGGCCGTCACAGGAACAACATGTCATCAGCT